TGCTGGTACGTTGTCATGACCAGGTCCACTGCGTCACACTAGTCAGTGCACAACCGGAGGTTCTTTTTTTTAACCACCACAATGGGCCTTACATCCCGCACCTGAAACTTCTTCACAAGTACCCATTTATTCTTCAGCGTCACCAAGTGGATGTTGGGGCCTGTAAACATGTTCTCTCCGGGGCTAACATCATGTGCCCGGGGCTTACATCCAAAGGGGGTTACATCACGCCAGAAATACCGGCCGGCCAGTTGGTGGCTGTGTACGTTGAAACAAAAGAACATGCAGTGGCGATAGGAAAGACACTAATGTCTTCCGAAGAAATTAAGAAGGTGAATAGCGGCCCATGCATTGAAAACATACACCACGTGGGAGATGGCCTTTGGATGAACCGTGTTTTGAGTGCCTCGCACATTGGGGCCCGGTGACGCCTCATAAATTGGAGGTATTGGCCGTGTAACAATCGCACCATCATAAATAAGATGCGATGAAAACGAAAGCCGTTTTCTTTTGAGTTGTGTGTGAATTTACTCGTCTGGTACTTGAGCAGCAACTTTTATTTTTTTTTTTTGTTTTGATTCTTTGTTGCGCTGTTGTTGTTATAAATGTGTGGTCACGTATGCCGACAGCGCCGTGGTGTTGTTACGATTGTCCCTTTTTTTTTTTTGCGCAATTGCTGGCGCAGCTCAACTTGCTTTTTATTTGTATGGGAGCCTGTTCAGGTACATTTTTTTTTTCTTTTTTCTTTTTTGCAACCTTTATGTGTCTTATTTATTTATTTATTTATTTTTGCCTGCTGTTTGTTGTGGGTGTGTCAATAAACAGCGGAGCATGAAGTTTTGTGGGGTCTGTCGGCTGAAGTATTTGCGTGCCTCGAAGGTGGCTTACGGCGGTTCGGTGGCCTCGTTGTTGAATGGCTACCTGCAGCAGGGGGCGGAGACGCATGCGGCAAATTTGCCGGCCTCACAGAAGTACTTTTACACACCGAAGGAACAGCACGACTTGTCGAGCTCTCAGAAACACCGGATGATTCAACTGCGTCTCGGTTCGGCCCAGATGTTGACATCGACGGTGGGAAATATTGCCAATCAAAACGAAGCACATCCGCTGTATTACTCGCAGACATCACCGCGGGCGGCCGGGTTGTGTGTCTCGCTCGTTGTGGCGCTGAAGAAACTGCGTATTCATCGCCTCACGGAGCTGCAGGGTGCGTTGATTCCAGTGTTGCTTAGGGGCAAGCACATCATTGCACACGCTGAAACAGGAACTGGAAAGAGTTTTGGTGTGGCGCTTGCCTGCGCCAACCAAATCATTCGGCAGAAGATCAACTATCGTCTCCATACTGTCATTATTGTGCCAACGGAGGAGTTGGCCCTGCAGTACGAAAAGTGGTTGCGTCACTTTGGTGGTGGCACATCACAGGTGGTGCAGGTGGCAATCGAGAGGGTTCCGATGGAGACACAACTGGCGAGACTTCACAACATCCAGCCACACGTATTGGTGGGCACTCCGCAGCGTGTTGCTGATATCTTGAGGCTCAGCCCCACCATTCTGGGCGAGAAGTTGCGCCGCAAGGTGGACTGCGTCATTTTGGACGAGGCCGATATTATTTTATCTGCCGAGTTGCGGTTTGGGCGTCAGAAAATAAGCGGGGAGGCGTTGGTTGATCGTCTTTTCCGCAGTCGCCCAGAGGAGGTGCCGGCTCAGTTGGTGGCAGCAAGTGCAACCATCAATGGCCGCACGGCGCAGGCCCTTAACACTTGGATGCGGAATGACAAGGCGATACGTTTGACGACAAGTTTTGTGGAGCACACAATCCCTCAGACAATTAGCTTTTATTTCTTTGCGGAGTCTATGAAATACTCATTGCCATATTGTTTAGAACTAATACTTCGGCTTATATGCAAGCAAGAAAGGCGCGCTCGAGTGCTCCTCTTTACGACAATTGAGGCAGTGGAGGGGGTGGTTAAATCTTTAGGTACAATGCAGCAGCGCTGCCGGGAATTGCATGGATGGTTGCAGCAGGACCCGAACAGAATAGTTGCGGCGCCGTTGCAGTCGTTATTGAACTCGACAAGTGGTCGATCTAGGCCGATTGTGGCTGGGTCACGTGACGTTTACGTAAAGGATGACAGTTCTTTGGCGAAGCTGAACGCTGGTATGCTGTTGGTAGGTGTGGGGAGCCACGAGCTGAGTCGTGGAATTCATGTGAGTGGGATCACACATGTAATCCTGTACGGCGATTGCCCTTCTGCCGCATCTTTTGTGCACTGTGCCGGGCGGACGGGGCGAATGGGGGCAGAAGGTCACGTTGTGGTGCTGTATCCACCTTCTTCCGGCCGTACTGTGCAGCAGGTGTGCCATGCTGTGGAACTGCCGTTTGTGCCAGGACGAATGGAGCAAGTGGAGGATCTGCTGGGCAATGTTGATTTCTCCTCTGCTGAGAACCTAGAGAAGTTGCAGAATGCAAATTTGCATGCGAAGCCGGATGAAGCTGGGGAGTCTCTGGCTCCTATGATTTTTCCGAATGGGTGAGACGGTGTTTTCCCCTCTCCTTCTCTCTATCTCTGTTCATTGTCTTTGGTTACTCCCTTTGTTTTCGCGCTTGTCCGGTCTGTTTTTTCAGTTGTTGTTGTTGCCTTTTTCAGCAGAACACTAAACAACATCAACAGCAATGACAACGACAAGGACAAACGATGTCTTGCCGACGTATTGCTCTCCTTTTATGTTCATCTTTATTATTATTATTAACTTTTTTTTTTTGGGTATTTTTGGTGGTATGAAGAGAGAAGGGATAGAGCGGAGAATTGGGGTGGGGACGTTTGCGCTTCATCTCTTGCTGTCTGCTCCTTTGCGAAAGTGGAGGAGTGAGCAAATCAGATGTTTATGTCATGTCAGCAGCGTGGATGTATGGTAGAGGCAGTGAGCTGACAGCTTACACCCCGAGGTTTACGGAGGTTGTCCACGACCGCATCGATTGCTTTGTGCCGCCGGCTTACACCCGGCTGCCGGTGCCTCTTCAGGAGGCCCGCACATTTTACACAGCCCCTGCTGACTTCGGTGCGAACGGCTTTGCCATACTTCCCACAGAGCGGCTAGGGGTTTTTCTTGACCAGGAGGAACCGAACACAAAACATGCCTTGCTGAAGGAACTTGTTGGCCAACCAGAGCACTCTTGCAGTTCATCGTCATCATCGTTGTTGTCAGTGCCGCATATTGAGGAGACAATCGCCTCTCGGCTTCGTGGCTTGTTTTTTGACGCTTCTCACGTGAAGTCGTCTGAGCTTATGGTCGAGCTGGTGTCACACATTTTCTTAAGTTGTACGGACCCAAAACGGATGAGCACGGGATGCATTGCCACCGTAGACCTAAGCCACACGGTGTTGGGCACCGTCGGTCTCTGGGGTCCCCAAGTTCATGTTGACACTCACGGCAACCCGAGTTGGAGGCACAAAAAAGACATCTGTTACTTTCCTGAGAAACGATGTGGCCGAAGCAAAATTAAGTGGTACAAACTACAATGCATGGCTCTGCGCAGTCTTGCTCTTGCGTACGTGGCCCCGCTGCTCTGGATGCCGGGATTTGGACGCTTTCAAGTCGTAGAGCTCTCATGTCATCATTGTTGTCTGGGGGACCAAGATGCAAAGGCCCTTGCATTTATTTTGCGTAAGCGTTGCTCTTCCGGCTACGTATGTCTTCTGGAAACCATTGACCTTTCATTTAACAATATCACAGACGATGGCGCCGATGCACTTAAAAAGGCGATCAAGTACAACAAGCGCATTCGAAACCTACTCCTTGCGGGAAACGAGGGCATCCGAAAGACGCAAATCCTTGTGTCAATAAATAAACGACTCAAACGAAACAAGGAGGGACGAGACAATTGGACTCTGCTGCAACACTTGAAGTGGTTGATCAAAGGCTATTAGAAAGAAAATATTCACGGTCTTAATATATATATATATACATATATATATATAAAGGAATTTGGGACAAAGTTACATTTATTTATTTCATTTTTATTTTTGCTGCGTCTGCATGGAGGCAGGGGGTCTCAGAGTGTGTGCGTTTGTTTGTGAATGGCACCCGTTGCAGGTTTAAAACACCATTCACCTTATTGCTTTTCCTCCTTCTTCAGAAGGAACATGTTATCTCTTTGCTGAGTGCCACAGAGTATTTTCATCGAATCACATTTTTGCTTTTACTTTTTAACTTTAAATTTAAATTTTTACTTTTTACTTCCTTGCTATGTTGCGAAATGAGGCTTTGGAGCATCCTGCTATCACAGAATGTCAGGCACAGAGGGGGAGATGACGCTACCAGAGACTCTTCAGCGCATTTCTATGAGGAACGGCGCTGAGAGTCATATTTTTTCGATGGATTCCGAAGCGCCCAATTTAACGGAAGAGCCGCAGTTGATTGCAGTACCGTCGGTCTCACAACTACTCGACCTTGTACGTGCCATACGGTCGCAGTATATACAGCTAGTAGTGGAGATCGCTGAGGCGTCTGGAAATAAAACCCTTTCTTCAGATGCCTCGTCAAAATTTACTAAGCAACTCGAGGCACTGGCTCACCCCATTGTAGAACTGCAGAGAGGTATTCGCAGTAAAAACGCACAGACTGCGCGTTTGGAACTGCGCAATTACCTTGCCAACGAGGTGGAGGCGCGGCGAAGGGCACTCTCACGCATGGGGGCAGCGCTCAGCATAGCAAAGCAGAGTTTGGTTTAATAATTCACTTGTGAAGTTAATGATGATTGCTAAGAATCCTTGGCGTGATTTGTTGGTATTTGTTTAATTTGCTTTGCTTTCACTCTGTGCAATATTCCTAAGAAAGCTTAAAATGTCTGAAAATAAGGCGACGTTAATAGAGGGGATGACGGAGAAGACTCTGCACTCTCCGAACACAATGGCAGAGGTGGCGTCCTTACACGTGGCCAACAGTTACATTGGCACGGGCCTCGATAACTCTGTGGAGAATGTGAAGCCACTACCTGAAGCGTGCAAACGGAATGTAACCGAATTTGACCTGGTTGCATACGGCAAGGATGAGTTTACTTTGTCAATGGAAAAGAAGGTCATGGCTCGTATGTTTTCTGCATTCGACGTGACGCAGTTGGGGTACCTTGAAGAAAGAAAGATAGAGCATATGTGCAAGTACCTGGGCCGCGTTATGAATGAGGACGATGTGAAGCAGATGAAAAGTGAGATCAATGCCATTGATGGCCATATCACATTTGAAAAGTTTTGGGGTTGGTGGTGCTCACATCCAGAGGTTCCGGCAAAGAAAGACTTCTTCTCGATGGTTTCGGTCGATTTTGCCGTGCCGTATCACCAGCAGCAGCTCTTAACGAGGGAGACGGGTGAACTGTATACGCCGAGTTACCGGGTCCTGTACTACTTCAGGGACATGGAGACAGGGAAGGAGCTGCAGGTGTCGCCTTGGCACGACATTCCACTCTATGTGCGAGATTTGGTGCGCACAAAACCTGCGTCACTGCCGATGAATCGCTACAATTTCATCTGTGAGATTCCCAAGTGGACGCGTGCGAAGTTTGAAATTGCCACGGGGGAGCCGTTTAACCCCATCAAGCAAGACATCAAGAACGGCGTCCCGCGTTTCTACAAGCATGGCGATATGATGTGGAACTACGGGGCGCTGCCGCAGACGTGGGAGAGTACAGATGTTGTTTTTGAGGGCGGCTACGTTGGTGATAATGATCCGATAGATGCCATTGAGATCGGCATGACACAATTTAAGGTTGGGCAGGTGGGGGCTGTGAAGGTGCTTGGAATCCTTGGGATGATTGATGACGGGCAGATGGACTGGAAGGTCATCTGCATCTCGCACAACGATCCCATTTGCCGCTTTCTGAAGGACATCCACGACGTGCCTAAATTCCTTCCAGGCTGCCTAGACGCCATTCACGAGTGGTTTCGGGTGTACAAAATCTGCCAGGGAGGTGTAGAGAACAAATTTGTCTTCAACGGGGAGTTTAAGGACAAGAGTTTTGCAATGAAGGTTATAGACGAGTCGCATTATATGTGGGGCAACCTGCGTAAGATAAATAAGAAGGAAGAGGTGTAATTCATAACAAAATCCCACTGGGAGTGTCGTTATGAATTTTAATAGAAGTTGAGTAGTGGAGGGGGAAAAGAAATTAAAAAAAAAAAAAAAAAAAGGTAAAATAAAAATCGCAACGGGGGAGAACCGCAGAAGTTTTTTCTTTTTTTCTTTTTTTTTTTTGCTTGTTTGTTTGGTTGTTTATTTAGGAAAAGGTATTTTGTAGTTTTTTTTTTTTTTTTTTGAGGCCCGTGTTGCTACTTTCAGTGCTTGCGCCTTTTCGTATATGTCGATCTTTCCCCTTCCCTCTGCGTGTGACCGGGACGTTGTGTTTCTGTGCACGCAGAACGAAATAAACAGGCACGTTGAGGTTGTCGCGCATCAAAAAAAAATTATTATTTTTTTTTTTTAAATGATTTATGTCTGCTTCAAGATGAAGAGCTGAGGCGGCAATATTCCCTTTGATGAGTTGCATGTCTGCCACTCCACGCGACGGCAAAAAAAAAAAAAAAAAAAAAAAAAAAAAACCCAATTTTGTTGCTGTTGTTTTGCCTGAAAAGTTGAAAACATTATTTTTCAGCTGGCGAGTGCGATTGTACACATGTGTTTATGCGTCTTTCTGTGGCCCGCACACGTAAGAAATATTTTTTTTTTTTTTATTTTTGCTTCTTCTTTGTGTTTGTCTGTGTGTTTGTGTTTACATTCACGTATTCTTTTGGGGGCTGCGTGGCATGCAGAGGGGGTTTGAAAACAACGAGAAGGAAGCGCGAAAAGCAAAAAAACAAACAAACAAACGAAAAAAAAAAAAAAAAGAAATAATAATCAAAAAACACAAAGTGGAGATATACAAACAACAACAACAACAAAATAAATAAATATATCAGAAAAAGTAAAAATACAAGGTCCTGCTTCTGATGTGTTCAATGAGATTTTGTTTGCTTCTTTTTTTGGTGACTCTCCTGCTCTTCGCGGGGAACGTGATCGCGTTGCGGGTTCAGCGCCCCGCTTTTCTTGCAAGCCGGAAATTTGACGCTTATAAATTGTCAGTTGGTCCCCCGAATTGGAGCGGCAGGGAGAACAAAGGGGAAGTTCTCCTGGTGAGGGGGGCGGAGCTGTGCGCGGATGGTGCCGGCAGCAACAAGTGGAAAGGGGCCGTCGTTTTGGCTTTGGGTCACGAGTGCGATACCGTCGTCCAGGCTTTGACGGCCCAGCGCGGGGGGGCTGTGGGATTGCTCGTCAGTAAATCCGGTGGCTATGCAGGTTCAGAGGGAGAGGTGCGTATTCCAGTGGAGGTTTTAAAAAAAGAAGACTATGACGCCTTTGCCATCACCATTAATCAAGGAATTTCAATCCACGTCTCTATTGGAAACTCTTTAAATGTTCAGCGCTTTGCAGACTAACAAATTTGTTTAGTCCTCCAGCTCACCAGTATTTTTTTTTAATCTTTTTTTCTTATTGCATTTAGTCTTGAACTCTGCCACCACGACACAATGTTGATGTATTTTTTTTTTTTTTTGCTTTGTGTGTTTAAAATTGTTTGTTTTTGTTTTGAGGATGCCGATTTTTTTATGCTTTTATTTTTTTTGCCCTCCATGCGATTAAAAAAAAAAAAAAGGGGTAAAAGAACTGCACGGCCGTACATATTCACGTACATAGGCGGAGCGGGAAAGGGGAGGGTTATTTGTCCTTTTTTTTTTCTGTCTGGATGGATGCGGGCGCGAACCACTCGTTGGATGCACTTGTGAATCATTTGGATCAGCGGATGATGGAGCTGGAGGCGGAGAAGCGGCAGTTGGAGGCAGTCCTACATCAAATGCAGGAGGATGAAAAGCGTCTCCTTGAGCTTAAGAAGAGGCTTGCGCGGAGCGAAGAGACATCGTGAGGCCGCGTTGAGTGGGAAGAAGTTTTTTCCCCCCTGTGTGCGTGTGCGTGTGTGTGTGCGTTTTGTTGTTGTTGTTTCCGTTTGGTTGACACCTGCGGTTTGCGTCAATTTAATCACGAGCGGCGTCATAGGTGGGAGCTGCCCACATGGCGGTGTGTTGCTTTTTTCTTTTTTCTTTTTTTTTTTTTTACGCTCTTCACTCGACAACCCTTTTTTTTTTAATTTTTTAATTTTTATTTTTATTTTTTCGCTGAAACTATTTTTAGCGGTTTTTTGGTGTGTTTCTGGAAGAAATGCGTCGGGCAACGATTTTGTGTGCCAGTTGGATGCCATTTTCGCAACCTGCCATCACGCAGGCGCTGCAGGAGCTGCAAGGGTGGCGCATGGAGGGCAACATGAACAAGGGCGCGATCTGTCGTGATTTTGAGTTTCGTGACTTCAAACAGGCGATGGCGTTTATGAACGCCGTGGCTGTCGACTGCGAGAGGATGGAGCACCACCCGAGCTGGACGAATACTTACAACAGGCTCCAAGTGCAACTCACAACACATGGCTCGGGGAACCGTGTCACACAAAAGGATATCGATCTTGCGCGTAGGATGAACGACGTGTTTAGAGAAATTTCAGTTTCCCAGTGAATTGGTATAGCGTACTACAAGTATAGAGCCACACTTAGCCTCTGAAGGTGGTATAAAGATACGTGCGGAGGAGAAAGGGGTAATGGAGGGAATAGGTCTAATGAATTGTGTAACATTGTGCGTGGATGGAGGAGCGCTTTGAATTCATTATTTATTTCTCTCTTTTTTTTCTTTTTTAGTTACGCACATGAATGCCTGCACATTTTTTCCCCTTCTTATTATTGGTTTGTTTTGCCGTATTTGGTTCCTGCTCGTTTTTCGTGAGGGCAACGAAAAGAAATTCAAAACGAAAGAAAAAAAACACGCACCTACATAAGAATTGCACCGACGTCTGTGGCGGGACCGGTTCATCCATGCGGCGATGCAATTTAATGATGCGGCTACGACAAAGAAGAGGGATCAAGATGATGTCACAATGCCTGGAAGTTCTGTTGAGTCTCTGACGCTGGAGGAAATTCCCGTGGAACAGGCGGAGCGTCTTCGTCTCCTGCTGCGACAGCAGGGGATGATGGAGACCGGCCTGAACACACACTCACTCCTTCAGAGGGTGCTGCTTCGGCCAGAGTGCGTGTTGGCCCAACAGATGAACGCGTCTTTGGATGACGTTTACGTACTCTACAGTCACGTCAGTGCTGCTCTTTTGCGCCGGAATAATTCTTTTTTATCCCCAACGCCAGTGGCTGCTGTCCTTTCTAGTCACCATCGCCATTTTATTTCCACTGGACAGGAGTGCTTGGATGGTGCCCTGAGGGGTGGTTTGGGCTGCGGATTGATCACGGAGATTACAGGGGCCACCGGCGCCGGAAAGACGGCATTTGCACTTAACCTTGCGATGCGTGCCGCAAGTTATCCCAAGAAGGATGACAGGAGGTCCTGCACGCTGTGGATTACCACAGATGTTTCGGCGTTCCCAGCAACGGTGGCGGCGGTGGTTTTGAAGCGGCATTTTGAAGCGCGCAGCTGCATTGATCAAGAGGACGGAGAAGGTCTTGAGGATGCGCTTCGTAATGTGGCGGTGACGGTTCATCCTACGCTTGCGCAGCTGCGGCAGTACTTCCCAGTGTTGCGAAGCCACTTGGCAAATCGGACAGATGTGCGGTTTGTTGTGGTAGACAACTTCTCCGTACTGGTGCGGCGCAGCTTTCCAGGAGTGGACGAAGAAGTGACGGAGCGGCACGAGGCCGTGGCAGAATTCATGAGCATCTTGAAGAGCATCGCACAGGAGTTCTGTGTGGCAATTGCGGTCACAACAGTCTCGGGAGAGGAACTCGGCCACTCGTTTCTCCACGCCGTGAACACTCGTCTTCGTCTAACACAGTGCCTGCTGGATTGCCGGGGTGCATTTGCATTTCAGGAAGAGAGCCAGGTACGGGTGACACATGTACTGGAATTGGTGAAAAGTTCTGCAGCTGCGGCTTGGCGTTTTGAGTGTGAATTTGAAGGGATGTGTTTGAAGCGAACACGACCGCTTGGCGATAATGAAGTGGTACTAGTGGAAGATGCCAAACTTTTTGGCGCGGACCCCTTTGGCCACGTGACCCTTCCAACATTTGCCTTTTGTTGACATGGCGACCATACAGAGAGAGAGAGAAAAAAAAAGGGAAAGAGGGAGTGTGTGAGCATGTTGCCGAGGGAGCGCTGCCCGTCTCTGGTGCTTTTTTTTTTTTTTTTGTACCTCTTGCTGCTTCACTGCGAAATGGGCATCACGATCCCCTCCTCCTTCTCCTCCTTTTCTCTCCTGCATTTTCCACCTCAAATGAGGGGGGAAAAAAACGAAGGAAGGAACAGCAAAGCGATAACGCAAGGGAAGAAAGAAGGAATATGAGCTACGACCGCGCCATTACTGTCTTCAGCCCAGATGGGCATCTCTTTCAGGTCGAATACGCGCAGGAGGCGGTCCGCAAGGGCCTTTGCGCGGTTGGGGTACGCGGAAAGGATAGTATCATTTTCGCCGTGGAGAAGAAATCGGTGCAAAAACTGCAGGACAGTCGCACAATTCGCAAAATCTACAAGCTGGATGAGCACATCTACCTTGCCTTTGCTGGCCTTTCCGCCGACGCCCGAGTGCTCGTGAATCACGCGCAGCTGGAGTGCCAACGCTTCCGTTTGAACTACGAGGATGCCGTTGATGTCGATCTCCTTGTCCGATACGTTGCAAAGGTGCAGCAGAAATCAACGCAGTCCAGCGGAAGTCGTCCGTATGGTGTTTCGACCATCATCGGCGGCTTCAACGAGAATGGGCAGCCGCATTTGTGGAAGACGGATCCCTCCGGCATGAGTTCCGCATGGCGAGCGGTGGCCATTGGGCGCAATGATAAAACAGTATTGGAATTCATGGAGAAGAGCTACCAGGAAAACATGACACGCGACCAGTGCGTGCATTTTGCCATTAAGGCACTGTTGGAGGCTGTAGAGAGTGGCTCGAAGAATATTGAGCTTGTTGTTCTGGAGAACAAGAAGGCGCTGTACATGGGCGATGATGAGCTGCACAAGTTTGTTGTCGAGGTGGAGAAGGAGCGCGAGGAGGAGGCGGCCAGGAAGAGGCGTCTTGCCGAGGAGGAGTGAGAGGGAGGGGAAAAGGAGTTTGAGGAAATGCAAATAACTGATGGAAGAACAGCGGAAAAGACAAAAAAAGGCAAAAAAAACAAAAACAAAAAAACAAAAAAAAGGAGAGAGAGAATGGGTTGGGATGGGATAGAACAGAGGAAAAAACGAAAAAAAGACAAAAGACACAAGAACACCACACCACTCAAAACCACCACCACTCAAAACCACCACCACTCAAAACCACAAGAAAGTGAGTGGAAATGAGGGGCAGATGGAAGAGTGAGGGCTGCAGGGAAAACCAAGTGCTCCATTTTATTGTTATTCCGTATTATTATTATTATTATTTGTGTGCGTGTGTGTCTGTCGCCTTATATTGTCCGTGCCACATGTTTATTTGCCGAGGAGGTACAACGGCATTTTAAATATTTGCCACGCCGATGGAATGAATTATGTTTACTTGGTGATACCCACTCCCACTCTCAATTCCACCGCCACCACCACCACCAGGCGTACAAATGCACGTAAATGAATGATTGTGCATGCGGAAAAAACAAACAAACAAAAAGCGTTATTTCTCATTGTTTCAATTTCTTTTTTTCTCTCTCTTTTTTTTTTTTTTTTTGCTTCTGAGGCTTATTCTTTTTTCCGCGCCTGTTTTTCTCCGAGGGAATAGAGTGAGGCGACAGAGCAATCGAGTTTGTGGGGTCTCTGCCTGCGCGTGCGAGCGCCACCGCCCGCAGCAATGCTGAGCGATGATACAATGGAAAAAATGAGCCGCGATGAGCTCATTGAACACGTGCACAAAATGCAAGAGACAATGATCGCCGGCACTAACGGCGTCGCGGTGGAGGAGCGGCCTGCATGGCAGCCACAGCTGAGGTCACAGCAATCCCAGCAGCAAAAACCAGTCTTGCTGCCGCAGCGAAGCAATAGTCTGCAGAGGAACTCATTTTTTTTGAGCGAGGGTAGCGACTCGTCCCATGGGGGCACGCAAAAATTTAAGCGGGCGCGACGGGTGGACGAAGAACCCAACTTGTTGCCCAACACATGTTTTTCTTTCGCTTCGCAGGAGGGGATGGGTCTCGGCACCATGCTTGGCGGGGATACCAACTCCGTTCTCAGTCACCTCAGTGAACTTGCATCCACGCAAGCGGCGGCCCTTCCAGATGCCCTTCCAGATGCCCTTCCTGTCGCACACAGGGAAAGTTTATCCGGGCAGACGATACATAATCAGTATTCCTTTTCAGCCAGCACGAAAAGCATGGCGATGCAATGCCCTGCCAGGTGGACGGGGAAACTTTCTGTTTTTCGAGGCGAGGACGGCACCAAGCAAATCAATCACTACCAAATAATAAAGGAAATAGGTAGAGGGGCATGTGGGAAGGTACAGTTGGCCTACGACATGGAAAACAACACACTTGTAGCAATAAAGGTGGTGAAGCGTGCTGACACCAATTTTCGGATTGGCGGCCAGACCAATGCCCAAAAGCAGTTCAGTGCCTTTCAACGGGAGATTGCGGTGATGAAGAAATTACGTCATAGAAATATTGTTTCATTGTACGAAGTGATTGACGATCCCAATGCGAAAAAACTTTATCTCGTGATGATGTACGTAGACAAAGGACCGATTGGCCGTGTTAACTGCCCTCCAGACGCAAAGGCGGACACCCAGGTTTGCACGCCCATTCCAAAGAATGAATTGGCTTGGTACGCCCGACAAATTCTTGCCGGTCTTGAGTACCTGCACCAGCACAAAATTGTGCATCGGGATATTAAACCAGAAAATATTTTGGTGGACAGAAACAAACACGTCTTCTTAGCTGACTTTGGCGTTTCGGAGGTTTTTGATACTTCTAATCGTGAGAAAATGGAGGCAATGATGCAGGAGAGCTTGATGGCTGTTAGGACATCCGGTGGGACGTATCAGGGACAAGGCATCCCTATTCAAGGAGCAAGAGGCACCATGCTGTTTATGGCCCCAGAAATCTGGAGGGGTGATGGTTCCTACGCGAGTCCAGTCGACATGTGGGCTCTGGGGGTCACACTTTATATTCTCCTTACCGGAATGCTACCTTTTATAACTCTGGATGATATCATGGATCCAGCACTCCCTGTGATACCCACATCTTATGGTAGCAAGTGGACGGATTTACTCCAGGGACTACTGGATCGCGACCCCAGCAAGCGCATAACAGTTCGAGCAGCGCGTGCTATTGTAAAGAGTATGAGTGAAGAAGATGAGTCTCCCGAAACTAACCAGCTTTTTTCTCCAACGTCTATTACACAAGCTGACCTGGAAGGTGCACTGACTCCCGCACAGCAGCAGAAGGATCAAGACGACATGGAGTGGCTGTTAGGCCAACATGTTGAAGAATGCTTGGATGCACAAGATGCGGATTTTTCGAAAGGATTTACTGAAGCCGAGGAGAGATCTGGTGTTTACTGCTCGACTTTTTTAGTGTGTAACAGCGAAAATAATTCTTTATTTGGTGCGGCCACGGGTGGCAACAAGGGGACGGAGAACATCAAAAGCCCACAGGCAGCCGAAAAAGATGCTTTTGTGCGGGCTCAGAACTCCTTTTTGGGAACCGAAAAGAAGACTGCCAGGGAGGGTCTTTTTTCCATTCCCGAAAGCGATCGCGTTTTCACCAAGGTTTCGTTTCCATTTCTGGAGGGGGAAGAAAGACACGATGCTACCACGAAACGCGGGGAGAAGAGCATTTTTACTTCAAATGCCAGTTTACCGGTTGCCAATTCAAGGGGAAGGGCCGCGACTCGTTTCAAGAGTAAATCCGGGTTTTTCTCCATGCTTCGAGAGGCGCTGTCGTTTTCCCGTTCCAAGAAGTCAAAGGTGTGATCATGGCGAAGAGGGATGCTGCCCTACGATTTATGTTGCCAGGTGTCGATTGCCCGATCTTCCGCTTCGTATTTCTAGCTTTTTTTTTTTTTTTCGTGTGTGTGTGTTTGCTTTCTTTTTGTTCGTGTTGTTCATTACTTCTGTTGGTGGGCATCGTCACGAAGAGGCGACTGAGGCTTGTTTTTTGCTGGGCTGTTGTCCGCCCTGAATAATTCCAAATAGAACTGTGTGTATTACCCATGTATGTGTAATTTACAAAGAAATACATCCAAAACTACATTTAGCGGAGAGGGAGAGGAAGGAGAAGGGGATATTGCGATGGGTACATGCCGAATGAATTTCAATCAAATTGTCTTTTTTCTTCCCACCATATTATTATACGTGTGTACTTTCTTGTTTGGGGTGGGGAGAGCGATTCCTTCATCTCTTTGGTCTTCATGTTTTTTGTTTTGTTTTTTTTCCCACTTTATATATATATATATATATATTTGGTTGCCGCCTCGTCTGTTTTTTCTTTTTTTTTTCTTTCTTTCTTTTATTTGTTTGTTTGTTTCTTCCTATTCCACCTTATGGGCAGCACGTCTACACATGATTTTATAGATGTGTATGTGTATGCGTGTATGCTTACTGTTTTTTTTTTTTTTACCAGTTTCAATGCTATGCGCTGTTTTTTTCTTTTCTTTTTATTTTGCCGTGTTTTACGCAGAATCATATGTGATTGCCATTTTTTTTTTTGCTTTTTCCATAAACGTTCATTCACCTGTACATGCACATGGACTGGAGAAGCGGGTGGAAGCAGGATATCTCCGGGTCGGATGAATTCATGTTTTTTTTTTTTTTTTTTTTGTTTGCCATTTTGTTTGTTTATAATGGAGTGCAATATGTGTCAATACACATAAGTAAGTGTAATTTATATATATATATGTAAGTACATGTGTGTATTATATGTGGCACGCACACGTAATAACTTCCCTTTGTTTTATTTGTTCAAAAATTTTTTTTTTTTTTTTTTTTTTCCTTGTACCACGAAGTGGATGCCCACTCAACACGAGGGAAGGTTGGTTATCCGAGAGAGGGAGAGAGCAGTGGACACCCGGGGTTGATGTTGGAGGTGGTTGCACTGCGAGCACGTTTTTGTGTGGCGGGGATGGGAGCTGTTGGCGACGAAACACAAATACCTGCAGTGAAATCTTGAAATGTATTTTATCTTTATATGCATGTATGTATATTTGCGTGCCCGTGATGACCATTTTGTTGATTCTGGTGCGGGAATAGAAGCGTATTTTTTACCTCTTTTTTTTTATGTTGCTCCGTTGGTGGTCGGCAGCAGACACGTATTTATTCCTGCACCCCGTTTTTTTTCTTCTTTATTTTCTGTGCTTGGCCTTTTTTTTTTTCCGTGTTTTCTTTTCTCCCTTTTTTTTCGCGGCTGTTTGTTGGGTTGCCACCCTTTTTTTTTTTTTTTTTTTACCCCTTCTTTATTCGAGGGCGAGGCGGAGAACGGCGGCGGCGGCGGTGTGTGTGTTTGTTTGTGTGTGTGTGTGTGGATTGGGGGGGCTGAGGCCCCGCCTTCTTTTATCGGGGTGCAGCTTGCGTTGTGGCTGGGCAAAACACACACACACACATGCCGTGACGTCTCTGCAACTGCTGTTTCAGTTACTGCCCTGTTTTCTTTTTTTCTTTTTTGTTTCTGCCATTGGAAGAAGAAAGAAGAAGCCGCGGGCGAGGTAGAGGGGTAACAGCCGTCAAAGAAAATAAAAAAAGAGCGAAAAAGAACAAATGACGAGTCATGCGCATCGCGTGTATAATCGTCGGGGTGTACGCGCGGAGGAGGAGAAGGTGCGGGAGACGCCCACTCTTACGGCCGAGGCCCTTTTGTCGTGGTACACCAAAGCGGTGCGTGATCTTCAGCGCGCGGCCACCCGTCACACCCGTGGGACGACAGAACGTCCACCGCACCTGTTTTCCCTGTCCGGGCTCAACAAGTGGAATCACTGCACAGACGAGGAGGCGGAGTGCCTGTTTTCTGGCATGAGTCACGTTGAACTGACTGGGTTTTGCTGTCGAGTGCATTGTCTCCTTTCAACCATTGCGGGGAGCATTTGCGGTCCGTCACTGGCTTTCCCAATGCAGACCGATAAAGGTGAAGCGCCAGAAAGCGCTCACTCCGCGCCGTGGAGTGGAATGACACTGCATCGAAAAGACTCGGAAAATATGATCCTCCCACGTCAACGGACACGTATTACAACGACGAGGGAAAGGTCCCTGTCGAAGTTGGATAACATGATGGAATACGAAGATGATGCAGACTTTGGGACACCGACAAGAAACAACCGTTCCTTCTCACCACTGTCTCTTGATCGTCGTATAATGACAACTAGACATGCCTCCAAAACGCATTGGATCAATGGCGCAAAGATCCTTAATGACTACATGGTGCTTAAGAGCATTGGGAAGGGAGCTTCAGGCAAAGTCAAGCTGGCATACAGCCTCTCGCGCAACGAAACCGTGGCTATAAAAATTATACCTCGTCCTAAAAAGAAGGCTCATTTTGGAGCCGGTAGGAACGCATCGGCGAAGGGCGCGGAAGCGCTAAGACGCGAGATTGAGGTTATGAAAAAGATGCGGCACAAAAACATTGTCCCATTATATGAGGTGATTGACGATCCCGACGCCGAAAAGTTGTATCTCGTGATGCGTTACGTCGACAATGGGCCTCTCGCTGTCGTGGGTGCGGATGGACGATGTCCCAAAATGATGCCTGACGAGCTCGTTTTGTACGCACGGCAAATCCTTGCTGGACTGGAGTATATACATGAATGCGGCGTGGTGCATCGCGATATTAAGCCTGAGAATATCATTGTGGATAGAAACAAACACGCTTTTCTTGCCGATTTTGGCGTTGCAGCCATTCTTGAGGAGGGCTGCGAGGATATCTTTAATCGTTTTGAGGGGACGCCGTTATTTATGCCTCCCGAATTGTTTGTCAGTGTGAGTAAAAATGATGAGGAAAATGATCACGGTGACAGCAGCCCTCGAGGGAACCCTTTTGCCATTGACGTGTGGTCCCTCGGAGTGGCATTCTACACTCTCTTGATGGGACGGGTGCCTTTTCTCTCCGTGAAGGATATTGAGGCGGTGCTGCAGTCCCCAATTGTCATCGCGGATGAGGTGCCACAGGCATGGCGCTTGCTGCTGGAGTCGATGCTTGCCGCTGACCCAAGGCAACGTCCTAAGATCAGCGATGTGCGCATACAAGTGGAGAAGATGCCCTGTGAAAAGGTGATGCGCCAAGAAGAGGCCGTCTCACCAAGGTTGGCTCCATGCGACGATGACAGTGCGTTCTCGCGGGCCGAAAACAGCAATTCAAATGCATGCATGTCCTCGCCACATATTGTACCTGTTGCGCAACCGCCATGGCTTTTTCTGCCCAGAATGTTGAACAGGGGAAACAGGACGAATACTCCGGAGTCTACCAGTACTCTCGTGGACACGCTGGGCTTTGAAAGCAACACGAATAGCGCACTCTCGCCAATGACCATGGATGGAATTACCCGTCGGATTAAAGAATGCATGTCGCTGAATTCGGTGACACCAAAAGTAAACACCGCTACGGAGGGAAGTGTGGATCTGCTGGATAGCCCTACCGCCGGGAAGGCCACGCTGTTCATGAAGGCCACACAGCGTCCTTTGCGGCGTTAAGGGCGTACGAGAAGAAAAAATATTTTACAATTTTGAAAGGTAGCGTTTGTTTCATCCCATTATATATATATTTATATGTTTTTTAGTCTTTCATGTTTATAGCCGCAACCGCGGTTTTTTGGGAGATTGCCTTCTTTTTTTTTTTTTTTTTTTTTTTTTGGCCCCCTGACGCCCCTCGTACGATGTCTTTCCGCATAACTCAATCTTTCGACTATGGACGTTGGAAGGACATCCAACGGAAGAGAAACCAGCAACAGTGGATGAATAATGTGGCATCATCATGTTGCTTGGGCGGATTGCAATGTAAGTATTACCGGAAAAATAAATGAAGAAAAAAAAAAAAAGAGAGAGAGAAAGACATTTTTCGCTGATAGTGTTGCGAATAAGACGACTTTTCCCCCTGTTGGGTGAATATTTTCTTCCTTTTATTGTTATTATTATTTTATTACCTTCTGTTCGATGACGTGCATACAATGCAGGTGGATCTCTTTTTTCTTTTCTTTTTTCTTTTCTTTCTTATTTTAATGTATGTTTTTGTTGCTCTTTTTTATTTATTTATTTTTATTTTTTTCTTTTGAAGCACCCCGTCAGAATGGAGTTTTTTTCTTTTTTTTTTTTTTCTTTTTTGTGTGTGTGTTGTTGGAAGGTTGACTGTCGATAAAAATGTACGGACACCCGTTTTTTTTTCTTTCCATCCCCAACGTAATTCTTCTTCTTTTAAAAGGGAACAAAAAAAAAAAAAAAAAAAAAAAAAAAAAGGACGCATGCGAATTACGTTACAATTCAAGAAGGTACAAAAAAATACAACAAACACCTGTCAAATTATGTTGAGTGAAATAAATATGTGCGTGTGTGCGTGGGCGGTAGAGTCTTTTATTTTATATTATTTTATATTATTTATTTTTGTTGCCGTGTTCGTATTGTTGTTTCGCTGCGAAGATGTTTGGATGAGTTGCAAGCGGAGATATATATATGCGTGCATAAACGTTTGTGTGTTTGTTAGACTTCTGTCTCTTTGGTAATTTATGGTTTTGTATTGCTTTAGTGGCGCTCTCTCATTTTCTTTTCCCCCCGCCCCCCGCTCTTTAAATTCTGCCTGTGATGTCGGAAAGGCGTATTTCTCTCCGGTCGTCTACTCGACGCCTAATGAAGTTTTTGACTTTTCGATTTTTTAACCCTCACATTTGCAGTGTGTGCGTGTCTGGAGACAACCGTTGCTTTTTTATTTTTTATTTTTATTTTGCTTTTGCCTTTGAAATTCTCTGGGCGCATTTTGCGCGTAGTGTGGGACTTGTGACTTTGCTGCCGTGGCCACAATGCTGCGTGGTGCTGTCATTGGGTCGAGGAGAGGATCGACTATCGTCGCGCGCTGCGTGGGTCCTGCCCAGCAGCGTCGCCATGTGCGCTACGCAAACATTCAAGAGACACTTCGCCCGCAGGCGGGGCATAGCGCGGGGCAGATGTCACTTCTTAACGAGATCTGCTGCAACCCCGACGCGGAGGAGGAGCGCCGCAAACCCATCTTTCGACATGAAGTTGCTCCACGCGCCCCATCACCATCAACTCGTACACCGACGAAGAATTATTTGCAGACGATGTATCAATGGGGTTTCAACTCCCTCACACTCTTCCGCAAGACAAATGAGGACCCTGGGCCGTGGTGGAACGCGAACAGCAGCACCCTGGTTTCAAATTGGACGCAGGTGGGTGACTACGCAAATGCCGGCATGTGGTCAGGAGTCTGGCGATATACATATGGTGTGGGCGAGTATAATCTGC